AACTTTCACTAGAGGTTTTAACAGCTGTGAATAAATCAGCCTTGAATTTGCAATCCCCAGAGGACAGCAGCCAGTTCTGAGACAAAACCCAGACGGCGGAGAGCACGAGGGTGTAGGAACTTACAAATATCCTCCTGACACCTCCTGACCACAGGCACCCACAGAGCCAGTGAACCTTGGCTGGGGGGAAATTTGTCACTGGGATTATTCTGCAGTGTGTCTAATTGGTGAGGTGCGAGCCTATTGGAATCCGAGGGAATGGCGGGTGGGCTAAATGGGAATGGATACATCTAGGAACAAAGGACGTAGGCAATACTTACACAGTGGGGGCCTCTCTCCTGGAAAGCCGTGACTTGGAGAGAGATTTGGGGGTCGTGGTGGATAATCAGCTGAACATGAGCTCCTAGTACAATACTGTGGTCAGAAGAGATAATGCGATCCTTGGATGTATAAACAGGGGAATCTGGAATAGGAGTAGAGAGGTTATTTTACCTCTGTATCTGGCACTGGTGTGACTGCTGCTGGAATAGTGTGTCCAGTTGTGGTGCTCACAATTCAGGGATGTTGGTAACCTGGAGAAGGTTAAGAGAAGGGCCACGAGAATGATGAAAGGATTAGAAAACAAGCCTAATAGTGACTGAGCTCCTTTAGTCTATCTATTCAGCTTAACAGAAAGGAGGTTCAGTGGTAACTTGCCTACAGTCTATACGTACCTGCCTGGGGAACAAAATATTTAATAATGGGCTCGTCAACCTAGCAGAGAAAGGTATAACATGAGCCACTGGCTGGAAGCTGAAGCTCAGGGCCGTCCTTAGGATTTATGGGGCCCTACGCAGTATTATTAAACTGGTGACCCTATGCTCCACTGAATGGTCCCCAGCCGGCGCCGCTGACCCCAGCCATTGCTGACACACCCCGAGCGTCGTACGCAGCAGATACTGCGGCAGTGGCTCAAGGCCGGCTTTGCGCTGTCACATGGGGGCTGCATCTTGCCAGAGCCCACAGCCCTCCTGCAACCCCTAACCATTCCTGTTTCACCAGGAGCATATTGACAGGAAGTACCAAGCAGTAATAACAACAACAATAATACAAGTGTGTGTGTGTGTGCGTGACAGAGTGTGTGTATGTGTGTATGTGTGTGAGAGAGCGAGCCAGTGCATGTGAGAGAGACAGAGAGAGCGCCAGTCTATGTGTGTGTGACTGTGTGACAGAGTGTGTGTATGTGTGTATGTGTGTGAGAGAGCGAGCCAGTGCATGTGAGAGAGACAGAGAGAGCGCCAGTCTATGTGTGTGTGACTGTGTGACAGAGTGTGTGTGTGTGTATGTGTGTGAGAGGGCGAGCCAGTGCATGTGAGAGAGACAGAGAGAGCGCCAGTCTATGTGTGTGTGACTGTGTG